CAATTAATTGCATTAAAATTGTTAATGTATTCAAATCTGTTTACTTTAATACATCAAAATGAAAATGACAACATTATCCCTGTAGGTATTTATGCAAGCAGATGGAAAGAAGCTTTGGGATATAATCTGACACATTTACAAATACCCTGTGTCTGTTCATTACACTGTCCCTGTTAAAAATAAATACAATTTGGGGAAATAAAATCTGAAATTTTAGCTGAACACGCCATCCTTTCTATGAAACACGAAACGGAAGGTGTTTCAACTTGAAGACTTGAAGAGAGAGGGACTTAAATGCACGCTTCAGGTTGTTGTCCTGCTGGAAGGCGAACATCCACCACAGTCTCAAATCTTTTGTATCCTCTGCAGGTTGCATACCAGGATTACCCAGTGTTTAAAGCTAAAATGAAATGGTTTGGATCTGGAGCATATTCAAGTGTTAGACTGTCCATTCATTGGATATATGAGTTCTATATTATAATTTATTTTCCAGTAGTTCAAACTACATCACATTGGGGAAAAAAATGAGCAAACGTTGCCACCACTTCCCCAAAGCCGTCCAACATTATATTGCCTAATGTAAAATAAGGAAGAAAAGGGGAAAATATTTCATATCGTCTCTGTGCGGATAGAAAATCATTCACATCGAGGCCCATTTGTCGCACAGCTTTTAGCAGGGGAGCTGAATTCCATCCAGCACAGCAGACTTCATAATAAGTCGTATTATTAAGTTAGTGATTAGTGCACAGCTGGATTTTTTTTTTTTTTTTTCCTCTCGGTATAGAGAGCACTCCCTCAGCAGCCCATATGTTGGGCTTCTGCAGCAGCAGCTTCCACTGATGTATTTTGCAGATGGATTTGCTCTAACACAGTTTAGTCCTTTTTAATAAATCTGTGACCATTTTCCTTACCGCTGTATGCGACTGCCACGAGTTGTAAAACCGCTGTAAGCATCACTGTTGTTATTTGTGTTTGCTGTGAATTCTAGAGAGAGTTTTATGAAGCAGTTTATTGATCGTCAGCAGCAGGATACCAGCTGTTTGTTCCGCCGTCTCCCCTCAGCTTCGTCCTCCTCCTGTGACCACTCCAAACGATCAGCCATTGAGGACAACAAGTATATTGACCAAAAGGTAGCTACACGTGCTGCTTCTAATTACACATCAGGTCCTCCCCTCTCTCTGTTATTGTTTTATTTTTTTCTTTCAAACACACAGAGACACATATAGAGGCTGCTTTAGAGGCATGTAAAGATGAATGTTCTGTGTCCACATAGAATAGATTCCAACCAGGGGGTTCCTATCTGTCTAATAAAAGTAAGGATATGTACGGATAGGATATTTAGAATGCAGTCCCATTGCTTAATTGTTCCACCAATGCAATAGTTTCCTATCCATCTATGATCATTAGAGTCCAGAGAAGTGTAGACTTAAGGCATTAAGGCTGTTAAGCAACCTTGATAATGTCCCTCAGTAACTCCCACACAATGTCTGCAGCTATGCATTTGGCAAGCTTTTTTTTTTTTTTTTTATATGATCTGCCACAATTATCAAACTTTTGAGCTCATGCCCACTCACGCTTCGCTCTCTCAGCTTCGCAGATCAATTTTTAGCATCCGTGCCCGCAACCTTTTGGAGAAAGAGACGACGATCAATAAAATCCTACGGTAAGACACACCCCTGTCACCACAGTAGGTGTGAGGTTTGGTGTTATGATGTGATGCTTTACTCGAATGTTTATTGATCATTACATCGTGAAATTTTGGCTTTACAATGTTTTTCCCAAAAAACCTACTTTGTGTGAGTTTTCATCAGCTGTGGGAGAATAATTTTAAGAGATTGACTCCTACACAGTGTTAACCTCGTAAAGTAAATGTCATTTGGGGATTATGGCTTGTCTTTGCAGTGCCCATTGTCAAAAGGTTAAAAGAAAGCAGTTGGCTGCATTTGTATTTTATTTTTTAAAGGAACTTTCTATGTGCATACAGATGCCTGTAGTAGTGGAGGTACTAATAGACCTTGAAAAAATGTAAGATAATTCAAGTTTAGATTGTTTTCTTTGAAGGAAACTTTAAGAATATGTAGATTATTATTTTTCTTATTATTTTTAATGAATTTTGTTTTTAATGAAGCCAATCAGTAAGACAACTTTTTATTAACTTGAATGCAGAGAATTTAGCCTAGAGTTCAGACCAGGTTTAACAAAATAACACAAAGAAAATGTATTTGACTCTTTACCAAGATGCCTAAAGCAAGCAAAGATTAGATCTGCAACAACGGAGGAGGACGAGGCTCAACGACGTGATAATTCTGGCATAATTATTAAGATTTATTTGAACATTCTGTTCCAGTTTAGTCAAAAACTGCAACGATTAATCCAGTGGCACTTTGCAGCACAGATGGCTCATGACACAACGCAAATCCAGAACTGTTTTGTAAAAGAAAAAGTTTTGGTATGACCAAATTTGTCATCTGACCTGTATTATTTGTTAGAACAAAATGGTGGTTCTAACAAATAAACAAAGGACAAAAAAACATTCTCAAAGGAGGTATTTCTGCATTTGAAAGAGTCCGGCGATAGAAGGTGCACATGTGCAAAAATCTAATTTTATCCTAGAATAAAACTTACCCTTTGTATTTGTAGCTATATCCGCTTACTTTTGTGAAAAATGAAAAGTTTTTTCTTACAACACATTTTTGTTCTGATCCTCAAATTATATCAAAAGCGCTACAATTCATTCTCTCTTCCCGTACCGGCTCTTTGTTCTTAAAACCACTGCGTTGGTGCATAGACGCGAAATTAGAACCAGACTGATCATCGCTGTAGACGCATCAGACGTAGCTCTGTCACACCAGCAGCACCGCTTGTCAACGTTTCTCACTTTTTATATATATATATACACACACCTACACACTCAGTGCCACTTCAGACTCATTTACTGTCGCAAAGAAGTAAATGGATAATTTGCTGTTCAGCATGGCAGAGACGGCACTAAGTGCAGATTAGATTGCAAACACTGTGTCCAATCTGCGCAGCCCAAATGTTCTGTCTGTCTGAGAGACGGACAGCAGATCAGGAGTCATAACACGTTCTGTCTGGCTCGCCATCTTCCACGCGAGCATGCAATTAGACCCAAATACCGACATATGCAAACTCACACTCTGTAGCAGAAGCAGCAGCCATTCATCCGTGCTTATGACCAATTAACAAGTAATCCCTCCGAGTTGCTATAAATATTACAAAGTGTTGCACAGTGCCGATGCCCATCATCTCGTTAGCTCTCCTCTGGCTCTTTGAAACTATTAGAGCCCTCTCTCACACATAAAAGAAGCCCTAACCCTTAAAGTGTCAAAACAATACAAAGCACCTTCAAAAGTAATAAGACCCATTTAAACTATTTCACATTTTGTCACATTACAGTATTTATTTGTGTGTTTTATTCAGACCAGGTTCATTTTCAGGTTGAATTGCTGTCCATTTGTCCTGCAGTAGAAATGCAGCGGAGAGACAAACTACCCCAGTAAACATCCAGAAAAGCTTCATGCAGCGGAAGCACGTTTAGTCACAGTCTGAAGTCTTTTTGCATGTCTCTTTTGAACCTCCAAGATGATTGGATGTTCAGTAATATCCAATCATCTTTGTCTGCCAGATGGAGAAACACAACCCCAAAGCATGATGCTGCCACCACTGTGGCTTATGATGCTTTTGTGATCCTTTTAACAAAGAGGCATTCTTTTTTTTTTTTTTTACCGCCTTTCGACTGGTACTAAGAAAACTGTTGTCTTGTTTCCCAGGGCTTGCACCAGGCAGCGGATGCTGAGTGGATCTTTTGAAGGGCAGCCAGCCAAAGAGCGCTCCATACTTAGTGTGCAGCACCACATACGACAAGAGCGCAGGTCTGACACGTGCACACACAGGCACACGTTTAAGTTGGCATGTATTCCTGTTGACGCCCAGTATTGAGCCGTGAACGCTCCTCATCTTTGCTCACCGTCTCCTCAGGTCTCTGCGACATGGATCCACCAGTCAGAGGATCAGCCGGGGGAAGTCGCTGGAAACGCTCACCCAGGACGTAAGCACACATCCTGAGTCACATCCGATTTGTTTCCCTTTTTTTCCTCCTTTGTTGTTTTTAGTACCAAAACGGTTACGTCGTAAATAAATGCGTGCTTGCGTTTAATTACGAGCAAAACACTGCATACAAGTATGTATTTATGCCGTTAGTTTTTACACAGAGTGATGGTAATTCAATCTAAAGGTGTGTTATGCTATGTTTTTTTTTTTTTTTTTTTTTCCCCCAGCATTCCAGCACAGTGCGCTACCGCAATGCTCAGAGGGAGGACAGTGAGATCAAGATGATCCAAGAAAAGAAAGAACAGGCAGAAATGAAGAGGTATTTGCAGGGAAAAAGAGTTAAACAGCAAAGAGAACCTTTAAAAAAAAATAAATAAATCCACAGTGCTCTTTACCTTGTAATCCCTTTGCATGATTATCTGCTTGCCACTCAACTCTTGTCTGAGCAGAAAGGTTCAGGAGGAGGAGCTGAGGGAAAACCATCCTTACTTTGATAAGCCTCTTTTCATCGTGGGTCGAGAGCATCGCTTCAGGAACTTCTGCAGGATGATCGTCCGGGCGCGCTTCAATGCGTAAGATTCGTCCAAATAAACACATAACAAATATCCGACTGCTGATATCTTTTCCGTGTCCAGTTTCTTTTGGAAGCAAAATTACATCAATGATAATAATTGATCTGCATTAAATGACCGACTCAGGGTGATGTAAACCTGTGAAATACACTGTAAAACCACAACGTTGTTGTATTTTTTTTTTTCTGTTTCGTCGTCTTTCACACCCAGATCAAAAACTGACCCGATAACAGGAGCAGTGAAGAACACCAAATACCATCAGCTGTAGTAAGTGTGGCTCATAATTGTTCATCAGGTGTTCGGATTAGTGCTTCATATGCATTACATCTTACTCATTGTGAAACAAAGTTCAGAAAAGCTGCATCTGTTACTGAGTCTGCAGATACATCAATTGATGTTTTGGGTTTTTTTCCTCTTTAATCAAGCTCACTTTACCTGAATTTTCCCTACATATGTATGTACTTATTAGCATAAAAACAAATCCACGGTTTCCTCTGGGGAAATAAATAAATAAATAAGCCACTAGCAGGCTCCCGCACAAGCTGAGAATATGCAACCATTCGACTAATGTCTTGTCGAGGTGATACATATAAACCATGTGGGACACTGGGTTCAAAGGTCAGGAATTCCCTACTCTTGATGTAATCGGTAACACAATTGACAGAAATGTTGAGTTTCAATTGCTAATATTTGCCACAAGTTATGAATGACTTGCGGTGTGTTTAAAAGTACGTGATAAAAAGAGGAGGGCTAAGCACAGTTTCTATCAGAATCAAAGTGAGCGTAGCACACTAGACAGTAAAATTACTGTTCTGTGAATTAATTTGCATCGTATCCAGTGTTTCAGCCACATGCTAATAGCCGAACTGTAAGCTAATTAAAATCCCACATCTGCTTTTTGAAAACCAGCTCATGAATTGCTGCCGATGTGTCTGTCCTCGCAGTGATCTTCTGGGCTTAGTCACTTATCTGGACTGGGTGATGATCGTGGTGACCATCTGCTCCTGCATCTCCATGATGTTTGAATCACCCTTCACCAGGGTCATGCACGTCCCCACTCTGCAGGTATTATAACCCCAGATGGACGGTCGGTCACATGGTGTCGACGGGCAGATTCGCCGGGGAACAGATGTCGCCGTAATCAGGACGTGTGTTTCAGATCGGGGAGTATGTGTTTGTGATATTCATGAGCATCGAACTCAACCTAAAGATCATGGCCGACGGTCTGTTCTTCACTCCGACGGCCATTATCCGGGACTTTGGAGGAGTGATGGACATCTTCATCTATCTTGTAAGAAATGTAATAAGCGATATGATTCTGAGGTGGGGGAAAAAAAAAAAAAGTTTACTATGGGGAGAAAACCAGAGTTCTGAGTTCTTTTAAAAAGAAAAATATGACAGTGCTAATGTAGACTTTTCAAAGAAAGTAAAAGCACAAGAAAGATGTTGCCGCTCTCTCTGTTTTGGCATCTTTGCAATATTGATTCACGAAAAACAACGAAATAAACTCATGATGTTGTATAATTCTGCCCATCGGCTTAAACATTCGTCAGGAGTTGTTTTTCTGTCGTTGTTTAGCATCTTTATTTCCTCGTAGAATTCTACTTTAAGTTCTCGCACCAACATTCCTTGAAGTGTCGATGAGTGGCAGACAAGAATTGATAAGAATTAATCAAACTAAAAAAAATGAAATAAAATAAGCTCCAATTTAGGATATTTGTAAATCCCCCCTCCCCCAAAATAACCGGATGATTCGGATTGATACTTTTGCTGTTTGAAATATTTCTCTGCTGTAGCAATAAGTAAATGCTGCATTTAGGTTTCAAAATGGGATTTAATGCAATTTTTCTATACTTTATTGTAATTGGTGTTGGGATTTAACCTACTCAATAAAGGATGAGATTTGTTTTTATGGAGCTATTCTGTGGTCATGTTTGCAGTGGTAGATTTTCAATCAGAATTGATATCATGACTTTTCCAAGTCCCACTGGTGTAGATTTTGAAATGGAGCTGCTGCCCAAATAAAATGACCCTGAAGCCAGATTGAGGTTTTTATCCCGACTTGTGGAACATCCAGATGATAAAACTCGACTACTGTGTAATTCAAATCTACCATAGCTAGAAATTAGAGTTTGGAAATGTCTCAAATTTAAAAAAATTCTTGGAATCCTGAAATAAGACTCGAAGAATGCCTTGACTCATCGAATGTTGTTATATTTTTCAATTTAATGCAGGTTTTCAGCCGTCTCCTTTTTCATATGTGTACACACTATTGTTTAGACTTGCAGACATTTACATAGTTGTGTTTTTACCATCTAATCACAAAAAACTTTTATCCTAAGGCACTCTATTGTGTTATTGTAATATCATTATCCTGTTTCCCTTAGTGTAGGTGTTATAAGGTTTCTTTTTAAGTCTCTCTGCTGTGCTTTGTTTCCGCACTGCAGGTGAGTCTGATCTTCCTCTGCTGGCTTCCTACTGACATCCCTCCAGAGTCTGGAGCTCAGCTGCTGATGATGCTGCGCTGCCTCCGCCCGCTCAGGATCTTCAAGCTGGTTCCTCAGATGAGGAAGGTTGTGCGGGAGGTTCTTAAAGGATTCAAGGAGATTTTCCTGGTTAGTGGTCGAGTGTAGCTTTTCAAAATCCTGCGGTTTTGATTTAACAGTCCGGAGTCGGACTCTGTCAGCTTTTTCTGCTCTTGGATAATTGTCTCTCAGGTTTCCATTCTGCTTCTCACGCTGATGCTGGTGTTCGCAAGCTTTGGAGTTCAACTGTTCGCCGGAAAGCTGGCCAAATGCAACGACCCGCGAATCCTTAAACGGGTACTGAAAGGAACATAATCTCCTTATAAACTTTCCCTTCCTGCACCGTACTCCCTGTGGAGAACATCCAGATGAATAAATAAAACTGGTTAAATCCAGCAGTTCTGCTCGTCTACTAAAAGCAGCCTTGATTCTTTTATACAGGTTTTAGCTGATATGTTGTGTTAAACTAACTTTTATTCTCTAGTTCTTTGACGAGATTTTTTCTTATTACTCTTTTGTGTTTTTTAATGTCTTTATTTTATCAACTGTTTATGAGGATGATAATATCATTACTATTTCTCTGATGAACTGTGGAAATTATTTTAGTATTAATCTTCCCATCATGACTTACATATGGATCTGGAGAATAGTTTTTACCTTAAATATAAAACTTTAAAGTTATTTTATGAAATAAAAGTTTATGAAGTAAATTCACAGCATTTAACTACACATGCACTTATAAGTACATATTTTTTTTTTCCCTAATCGTCTTTAATTTGTAAGGTCAAACACTGACAAATCAGTTTTTCTCTCCTTTTCATTAAATGCTTAAAAACTAAGAACTTCCACAATTTTCTGTCTATAACTGTATCAACTAACAGCATATAGTAACAGCATAACAGCATATAGTCTAATACATATATATATGTATTAGTATATATATATTACTTGTATGTATTTGGTTAAAAATCATGACGCAAATAAGAAGGTGATCTTGGAGCTCTTTCTTTTACGACTTGATCCAAACCTTCCACGTTTCTTAATGAATTTGCAGCAGAATTATCGTCTTTTTCTTAAGTCAGACCACAAACAAAAACTTTGTTTCTACTTTGCTTTTGCTTATTTACTCATTTGTTGTTTAAACTGTGTGATCCCACACAGGAGGATTGCTATGGCATCTTCCGGATTAATGTGAGTGTTTCCAGAAATCTCAACCTGAGGCTGAAGGCTGAGGAGAAGAAACCCGGTTTCTGGGTACCAAGAGTCTGGTAGGACTTCCTTGTTTTGATATCGTTTTCTTATAAAGTCGCCCTGCGGAACCAGTGACCGTATCAACCAATCTTCTGACTTTCCAGGGCAAATCCTCGAAACTTCAACTTTGACAATGTCGGCAATGCCATGTTGGCTCTCTTTGAAGTTCTGTCCCTCAAAGGCTGGGTGGAGGTCCGAGACGTCATCATTCACCGAGTTGGGCCGGTAATAATCTTCAGCTAAAATCATTTTTTCCCTATGCTCTCTGTTTTATTTTTTCTACATTAAACAGAAATAATCATGACTGCGCTTTAACTCACACGTCTATGTCTCTGCAGATCCATGGCATCTACATCCACGTCTTTGTGTTTCTGGGATGCATGATCGGCCTCACGCTGTTCGTCGGAGTCGTCATAGCGAACTTCAATGAGAACAAAGTAAAATACTGCTATTGACGAGTTTCTGTCAATGTTTCTTTTTTCCGAGGAACAGTGCCTGTGTTTTGCCTCGGCTTCATGATTCCAGTGCTGTTGTGTTTCTTTCCTCTTTGACTTTCAGGGCACTGCCCTGCTAACAGTGGACCAGAGGAGATGGGAGGATCTGAAGAGCCGACTGAAAATAGCCCAACCGCTCCACCTGCCCCCCCGCCCAGGTACAACGAAGCGCACTAACGCGCAAAAAATGGACATCAAAGGCTTTCCGAGTAACTGCAGGACACAACGCAGAGCCAGAGCGTCAAAAGCTTAACGTTGTGAAAACATCACGTCCGCCCCTGTTCTGGGATTGATTGTGCGCTCGCGCGCGCGTGCCCGCTAGCGCATCGCTAAACAGCACCTGCATGATTAATTCGTATTTAATAGTCCTTGTTTTTTGGCTGCGGATTGATGCCTGGAGGAATTAATCGTGACACTCGAATGACGACCAGCGGCAGTAACAGCAAAAGCCCGAATATGAAGGCAGATCAAGCAAATGGCTTGGACACCGAATGTCACACCCTGCTACAAGGAAATTAATCACATTCTCGCACCTCGCTCGAATTTAAAAACAAGCTCTGGTGTCAATTTATGCTCGTACACAAATATATCCGGCTTTCTTTCGTGCGTGTCTTAAGTGGTGAGCGTAGGGAAGCGCTGCATCCTTATTGAGTTTGGCCACAGATTCACGCCGCTTCCCTCGCTTATGTGACTGGAGTCATGGGAACAGTCAAGGCGCCTCGGAGGCAGCGTGGGAAATTGCTTGTTAGTACAGGCAGGGCTGAGAACTAACAGCAAAATCGAAGGCTTCGGTTTTAGTCAGCAGCGCCGCTTGCCCCCGGCTTTAACAACCAGACCGATCCACATCCAGAGGTGTTTCGTCGCTGGCGAGCCATTGCAGCGCGGAGCTGATTAACGTCTTCATGTCTGCAAAAACCGCCAGCGTGGTCAGTGCTTACGCTTTGCAAAAGCTCAAACTGATTTAAAGCTCTGTTTGTGAAAAATTAAATAAATAAAAAATACAGCGGCTGCGAAGTGAGCTAATTTTTGAAACCTTGCAGCAACGACATAAAAGTTCCAACACAGAAACTAGCAACATCCAAGACTTAAATATGTTATGCTTAAAATGTGATTTTAGAGCCACATGTAAGATTGTAAAACTTGGCAAATATGCTTATCAGATGGATGGTTCTACTTAAAATTGTATTCGACTCTGAAATTACTGCCTTCGAGCAAACATTGAAGCCTCACTGTCTATTACCAAATCTGAGTTTATTGTTTGCATTGTTTCCTGACAGTACGCCCACTCATCTGTATGAATAAAAGTTTGTGAAAGCTGCACAACAGAAGCCTGTTCAAGTCTTAATCAGATCTAGATGGTCCATAAATGCCATCTTGTGGACACTGAAGGGTACTGCGCTGACGAGATTTGAGATGTCTTCGGTGCTGCGGAGAAGCGTTTGAGATCGCATTTTGTCACAGGGTGGAGAGAAAATAATCCATAAACATCCAAACGAAAAAAAAAAGTGACCCATTTCAGCATTTAGCTCCCCGTATCATTAACTTTGCAACCACAATCTAATTTTTGGCTTTTCTTTTTTTAATTTCTCTATCTCATCCAGATTGAAGTGTCTCTGAAAGATCATTTTTCAGGTTTTTCAGGTGAACTCTAGTCATTCTAAATTTTGGATAAAACCCACTAAATTTCGACCTCTAGCTGTATGTGTAGGGTTGCTGTCCTGCTTTTCTCCCAGGATCCTCATGCAGTTATCTCCATTCATCTTCTCATGGGGTGAATTTATTTCATTTCCCTTTGGGATCAATAAAATATTTTCGAATTTGAATTATGAGCTTTGCACATCTACAGACTCTAATTTTTTACCTATTTGTTAGAAAATAGCTCAACTTCAGTCAGATGGAAGGGAAATATCGGCTCACTTACTTGAAACCACGGATCATTTTCCTTCCACTTCACAATTATGTGGATTGAATCCTTTTATCCTATAAATTTTGGAAATTTGATTTTTTTTTTTTTTGTTTTCCATGTCATATGTGTTCTTTTCACAGAGAATGGAGGTTTTCGGGCTAAGATGTATGACATTACTCAACATCCCTTTTTCAAACGCGGCATTGCTGTGTTGGTTTTGGCACAGTCTGTCCTGCTGTCAGTTAAGGTAACATCTATATGGTTTTTTTTTTGTTTTTTTTATTGCACCATAATTTTCACATTCTTGTCTTTCACTACAAACAAAAATAAATGTTTTCTTACTTCTGCAGTGGGATGTAGGTGATGATAAAGTTACCTTTCCTCTTGCCACCATGTCTGTAGTCTTCACCTTTATATTTGTATTGGAAGTAAGTCTGTTTCTGCCTGGGCATCTATCATTCTATACGTTTTGATCACTTCCTTCGTTGTGTTTACATACACATATCGTGATGTTTTTTTTTTTGTTTTGTTTTGTTTTGCTTTGTTTTGTAGGTGACAATGAAGCTGATAGCCATGTCTCCAGCTGGGTACTGGCAGAGCCGACGAAATCGTTACGATCTGCTGGTCACTTCACTGGGTGTCATTTGGATAGTCCTGCACTTTTCCTTATTGGTTAGAGAAGCATATTTTTTCACTGAGGGAAATTTATTTATGAGATGAGTACCGCACATGCAACTGTCTTTTTATTTTTTTTTTATACTCTTATAGAACGCATATACGTACATGATGGGAACTTGTGTGATTGTCTTCAGGTTCTTCACCATATGTGGGAAACATGTGAGTCAGATTTTGTGTTTGCCTCACAGTCACCTCCCCTTTACCTCATAAATAATTTCTACCCGGGCATAAAATCTTGCGACTCTTAATACGTGCGTATGATCCGTGAAGGTGACACTGAAGATGCTGCTGCTGACCGTGGTGGTGAGCATGTACAAGAGCTTCTTTATCATCGTGGGCATGTTCCTCCTGCTGCTCTGCTACGCTTTCGCTGGAGTCGTTCTCTTCGGAACGGTCAAATACGGCGAGAACATAAACCGGTAACTGTTGCTTATGTTCGGACCTTCTTGTTTAGTTTTGTTTTCTTCTGCTTTGCAAAAGGAGCTGAAGTAAGACAATTTACTGTCTTCATACAGTTATTTTAATCTCAGTGATTTAGTTTTTTTTTTCTTTTTCTCCAAATGGCAGGCACGCCAACTTCTCCACAGCAGGCAAAGCCATCACTGTTCTTTTCCGCATTGTCACAGGAGAAGATTGGAATAAGATCATGCATGACTGCATGGTAAGACGAGCTCCAAATACGTCAGATAAAGGATCATGCTTTCCTAATCTAAAACGACATAGTAACACTTTATTTAAAGCAGTGTGCACAAGACTGACACGACACCGTAATAAATATGACATAACACGTTTACGACTGTTGTCATGAGTGTAAATAATGACACTTTTAGTGAAAAGTTCCAATAAAACTTGCATTAAAAGTCCATTTAGAGTGTCAACTTTACATTAAAACTGACACAAAACTGACTGTTTTATAGAAAAAGTATTTGAACAGTTTATCAAGTTGAGCATGCTCTATTTTAATTTCCTGATTGTTAAATGTAAAGTTTTGTTTAAATTAAATAAATATATATTTGCTTGTTTTTTTTGTTTGTTTTTTACGGTTTCTAGGTTCAGCCTCCATTCTGCACCCCTGACAAACATCGCTACTGGGAGACTGATTGTGGCAACTATGCAGGAGCGTTGATTTATTTTTGTTCGTTCTATGTCATCATAGCATATATTATGCTCAACCTTCTCGTAGGTCAGTGTTTTCTCTCTGCCTGTTCTGTGTCTTTTATAACCATGTACTGTCATGTGCTTAGTGTATAACCAGTAAGCACATTAGAGGAAGCTTTATTAACGTCCGGCTAAGTTTGTGTAAATTTAAGTGAGTTCATATTTGATAACTAGTGTTTGAGCAGTTCTCTCTTTACAGTTGCCTGGTAACATCAGAGCACAGCTCAACTAGCAGGTCACATGACACGTTCAGACAGGAAATGCAGCCTTACGGTGAACATAATCGGAAAGGGTGAAATACTTTTTAGATATTTAGGAAATAGACTGCAGTCCAAGCTGGATCTTGTTTCTGCACTTCCATTATAAACCTTGACTGCAGGATTTCCATAACTATAAATATCTACGCAACTCTTCTTTGTTGGTATCAAATAGCCTTTTCATTTACATGCCAGTAACTGTGATAAAATTCGGAAACAAAACCTTTAGTTAAATATTTGATCATTCTCCTGTTTAAACTCCCCTCAAGCTTAACACCAACAATAACAAGCTATTTACTTCACTGATTTAACAAATAATGAGGGAAGATTATTTGTTGTTTTTGGATTAAGGCTATTTCTAATATGTGTATTGACTTATAGTCATTTTTACATTTTGGTTTTACTATCAGAGCTACAGCTCTAAATCCAGCAGTCCAATTCGATGTGATCGCTCTAATGATGCTTGTTGCGATGTGAGCTATATGTCCATGGTTATATAGCCAATATTATCTATCCTGACATTTTTGCTGCAGCCATCATTGTGGAGAACTTCTCTCTCTTCTACTCCACTGAAGAAGACCAGCTGCTGAGTTATAACGACCTGAGGCACTTCCAAATCATCTGGAACATGGTGGATGACAAACGGGAGGTCAGAAATTAGCAAGGACGCTTGTGGAACCCACACGGGACACTGAGGGTTAATATAGAGAGAAAGTAACTAGAGACGCTGATCTTTAATTAAAGGTTTGATTCCTTTCAATTTAACTACCACTTAATTGCAATACGAACTCGTTCAGTCAAGACACGTGCAGCAGAAATGCAAAGGTTAGCAGTGGGCCTTGCTGTTCTTGCTACGCTTTGACAAAACTCTTAACGAAACTTTTTTTTTTTTTTGCCTGAAAAGCTTCTGTCGTCATGTCAGCATGTCTTAATAAACCCTTTACCTTTGCTCTTGTTTTATTTATTTATTTATTTTTTATAGGGAGTGATCCCAACGTCCAGGGTGAAGTTTCTGCTTCGTTTGCTCAGAGGAAGGCTGGAAGTGGACCTGGACAAGGACAAACTCCTGTTTAAACACATGTGCTATGAAATGGAGCGACTTCACAGTGGAGGAGATGTGACATTTCATGATGTGCTGAGGTGACGGTCAAGTGCTACATGTTGTCTTACTTAAGCACTCATGATGTTAAGTACAACCCAGTTTATGTAAAATACTTCAGTGCTGACGTTTCCGAACATGTTTGGCCTCATACATAAATAAACCAATCATCTTGTTGGGCTAAAGGAAGGAAATGGCATCCAGCTCATTATTTTTTCCATCTGTCAGTCTGTCCTTCTTTTTTCCTTCCTTTCTTCCTCACTCCCCCTCCTTCCTTCTTCATTACAGATCTGTGTTTGTTGCCGGTTTCCCACTTAAAGCCGATCCACTGTAAAAACATCTGGCAAAAACTCATAGTGAACTTTTGTTATTCAACATTTCCACCTTTCACCAACCCGACTTCCAACCTCTGATGACGTGCAACACGATAATGTAGTTTGATTTGACTTGCATACATTGAAGAACATTTGAGGTTTCTAACTCTGATTTCACAAACACTACAAGGAAAGGACTACTTTTGGGGAAAAAAATGGAAAAATATTAGCGTGTATTGGAAAACGATAGAAATAAATGTGATACATATTCATTTGTTCCACTTCTTATTCTTGTAAGATGTAAAACATGTCGAATGGTGTAACAGATTCATTACCACTACTTACACCTTGCATTCATCTGAAAAACTCCAAAAAACATTTTGTACTTCCTGAAAATAGAGGATAATATTTTTTTTGCTGAACAAGGTAAAGAACCTACTGAAATAGAAATTTTGCTAATTTTGTGCATGCAGAGCGGAAGCAGGCTCAGCTTACTTACAACCAACACGCTAGATAAACATTGTTCTACTCATGAGCAAATTTGATTGATTGAACAAGAAATTTATGGGCTCCTTTTTCAACAACCATCTAAAGATCTGACAAAAAAATCGCATCGCTTAAAAACAAAAATGTGCTATAAAACTTTGTCTTTTGGAAAATATCAATCGTATGCATGTGTCCATTTGCCCAGCATGCTGTCTTATCGCTCGGTGGACATTAGGAAGTCTCTCCAGCTGGAGGAGCTGTTGGCCAGGGAACAGCTGGAGTACACCATTGAAGAGGAGGTCGCCAAGCAGACCATCCGCATGTGGCTCAAGAAATGCCTCAAACGCATCCGGGCGGTGAGTCACTCAGCCAGACCACGCTTGTCCTTTTCCACGCTCGACTCGCAAGTGTCAGTGCATGACGCCGTCCTTTGAATGCGTGCATGCTTACAGAAGCAGCATCAGTCGTGCAGCATCATCCACAGCCTGAGAGAGAGCCAGCAGCAGGAGCTGAGCTCCTTCCTCAACCCTCCCAGCATAGAAACCACGGTGCCGAGCGAAGACCACAACGCTAACAACCCAGACAACCCCTCGCAGCCTGAGGTAAAGCCCCCACATCTAAACCGCGGCGGCGCACACAGTCTCACACGCTCGCAGCGTGATTTCTGCGCAGACACATCACACAGTCAGCAGGTATGCTTTTGCACTGGTGCAACAAAGGATATCTCGTCTTTGTTTAGATGAGTGGCCTCCAGCAGCTTCTGAGCCCCACGTTGTCAGACAGAGGAGGGTACAGACAGGACTCCACAGACCTGGGGAGACCACAGAGAAAGTTGGGACAGTGGCGGCTGCCTGCAGGTTTGTTCGCTTCTGTACTCTATCTTGTACAAGTTACAGGTTTTGTAAAAAGAGAATTGTGTAAAATTGAACAAAGAAACTTCCTCGTCTTCACTCTGCTTGGGAAAGCGAGGGAAGCTAACGCTTGTAACCTTTTTTTTTTTTTATAAAAGTTGAGATGTGGTATTGGAAATTCTAAGAGACTATTCAGATATGGTGTCAACAGCGGTACTGGGTGAACATGTTCCAAGTGAAGAGAGCAGTATATTCATACCTGATGGTAAAATAAATATATCACAATATGAAATAAATACCATTTGTGATTGGATCTCAGTCACTTGTCATGTCATGGAACTGTTACCTGAGCGAATGTGCAGGCTTGCTGATGTTTTATTAAAAAAAAAAAAATTTGAACAGACTTGTTAAAGTACATCCTTAAAAAAAACGTGACTTACTTCAGTTTCTCAGCAACCAGCATAGCTGTGTCTTCAATTATTTGTGCACTTTTCCCCAGTTAGCATTATTTACCCTGTATGGTGTCACGGAGTGACAACAGTTCTCAAAATGCTAAAGGTCACAGAAGATATCACATTGACAGATTTGAAAAGGAAAAGGAAAATTCGGATGTTTATATTATCCTGACAACAATACAGCCAGGATACATGAACGCTACGTCTCAGAGCAGCCTATTGGTTGTAGGTACTGACTGATCTTGACTCATGTAAACCTTTAGTTTGTCAAAACGGAATAGTCAAAATTAGTATCGATACTCAAAATTCTTTGCAAATTCTCTGTTTTTGCCGTCAGGTCGTACGAGCGTCAAGTCCATCGTTTGCAAGATGAACCCCGTCAATGACGAGGCCTCTTCGGGGTCAGAGGTGAAGAAGTGGTGGACCCGTCAGCTGACCGTGGAGAGCGACGAGAGCGGAGACGACCTCATCGACATTTAGAGACGATGTCCGACGGATGTGTCTTCTTTCTCCTTTACAGATCGGATGCGAGGCTTGCCGGTGGATTCGGACCTTTTCACGTCTTGTCTCTGTAGGCTGATGAATGAAAACGGTGTCGCCGCTTCGTTTTACCCGCTACCTTTATCTCGACGGGTTTGATCAGCTGTGTGTGAAGCTTTACCTGGAGTGGCTCATTCACGGAGGCAGCCGTTTAGGCATGGATTGGTGTTATGTGTCCCATGTTCTGTCCACTGCTGAGTTTTTCCTATGCAGGCGCATCTGGTGTCAAAGCAGACTGTTGACTGTAGGCCATACATTTGGTGTGTTCATGAACCCAACCGAGAAGCTGCTGTGGTGTGCGTTTCCTACTGTTTCATGTCAATATCTTAATCAACTTCTGTCCTTCGATATCTTTGATTTGCCTCCGTTTCTCATCTCTTGTATCTCTGATAATGTCTCTTGAGTTTTTCAGTGGTGATTGTTAACTGTTGTTTGTCTCATTGTCACTTTATACAAAAACAAGTCGTCTTGTTTTTTTGGGGTTTTTTTTTTATCTGGACAAGAACATGGAAAAACTAAAATCTACAGTTTTGACTGTGAATGTATTTAAAGTTACATCAGTGTGTATTTGTGCAGCTTTAAAACAACTCTTTTGTAAGTTATTAGAAACACTTATATTTATCAAGTATTTAATTATTCTATTAAAAGCCTGTTGGGCATTTATGAGAAAAACAGTGGTGTCACTGTCTTTGTACTGAACTTTGTACGCGACTTCAGGAATTTGAAATACTTAACCTGTTATTCACGAGAGGACCCAAATTTGGGTCCTCTCGTGACAGGGGTGTCAAACTCCAGTCCTCAAGGGCCTCTGTCCTGCAACTTTTAGATGTGCCTCTGCTGCACCACACCTGAAAAGAATAATTAGGTCATTAGCAGAGCTCAGGAGAACCGATCTACACAGGGAGGAGGTAATTAAGCCATTTCATTTCACTGTTTTTTACCTGTGGCACATCTAAACACTGCAGGACAGCGGCCCTTGAGGACTGGAGTTTGACACCTCTGTCATTGTGAATGACAACCTGTGAACAACAGGTTAAAAGAAAAAAGAGAGAGAGCAATGGCGAGAGTGTGAGCAGCGCGTATACAAGCATGATTGACAACGCTGAAACACTTCTGACGGAGCGGTCCACTTCTGTAGTTATCGTTGGGAGAAGACGGTGAAGCTCGATTTTTTTCTTCTTCACAGATTATCTGTCTTACGCTATACTATCACAACATAATAATAGTTGCATATCCTACACATGTAGGTCTTTTTAGCATGATTTTTTTTTTTTAATCAGAAAAAGTTTCTCCATAGGTTTTGTGTAGCTTGTCTCAAACCCTGGTTGTGATGCTGACTTAGTGGCATCCTGAGCAAAGAGCAACGTGGATTGTTTGCAAGATTAACCCTGGAGGACAAAGGAGGATATTTTCTCACGTCTTTTTTACATGCTTATTATTCTCATATAAACTTTACTACTACAAATATCACATCTGCCTTTTCTTCATGGCTCGTTTTACATGACAGTTGAGTTCAGTTTATAGGATAGTCCAGGGGTGGGCAATCCTGGTCCTCGAGGGCCGGCGTCCTGCAACTCTTCGATGTCTCCCTGGTCCAACACACTTGAATCCAACAGCTGAATCACCTCCTCAGTGCAGTCAGGTACTCCAGAGTCCTGCTAACGACCTCATTATTTGACTCAGGTGTGTTGAAGTTGAGACACATCTAAAAGTTGCAGGAGAGCGGCCCTCCAGGCCTGGAGTTGCCCACCCCTGGGATGGTTTCAGTGACTGAGTGGGAAGATGCTGTTTAATGGTTCCTTTCACATGAAAATACGACTGTGTAGAATCAACCTGGTCTTTTGAAAACTCTGCCCTCTCCTGGACGCATTAGTCACTGTGGTACGCCAGTCATTCTTCTCTTCTTCTGGCTCAGTCTTGTTCAACTTACAACAGGACTTGCTTCTTCTGGTTGTGTACTCAGTTTAATTTTGTCCAATCCACTGATCCAGAGTGTCTTTCTAAACTTGTCAGACCACTTGAAGTTGTTCATACTTCGTCATACTTGCACAGGGTTCAGTGCACATGACTGAAATTTCATTTGACAGACCCAACAAGAAAATTTGTGCTTCTTTGTGAAGTGGAAGGTGTAAAATGAGATGCTTATATATATCATATAGAAGCATCATGATGCTTCTGCATGCTGTATAAGCAGATACATTTGAAAATAATAATTAAGCAGCATTTATACTACATGTATAATACACATACCCAAGTTTCTGCTTTATTTGATGTACTGGTTTCTAGAGGGTTCATCAGACAATGGCTGCGGGTCAGAGTGGAGGTAATTGAATAAAGAGCTCGCATTCATGCAGCTGCATTTTCCTTTAACAAGGGGCCTTGTTAGACACAGAATTAGCCTATTAAAAGAAACACGGCCTTGATTTGTCCGGTTAAAACCCCGTTAAGTTTCACAGCTGATGGAGGGAGCGCGGGGCTGTCTGGATAATGAACGAGCGGCAAAGCAGAGAAAGTGCGGAGGATCGGGCTGCCTGTGGGACATCCACTCTGTAGAGGTCCTGATTTACTCACACATTCCTCTCTCGGTGACTGAGTGCTCTCTCTGGCATCTGGTCCTGTTGGGAAACAGTGTGACATCAGCCTTCTTGCCAATCAACCGCCTTTAATTTATCTTTTCTCACTTATTCTTCCTGTCAACCATCTCCTCTTAAGTGCCACTTAGCTGAGAGCTAGCTCATCAAAGGGGCCTTTTCTGCCTCTTTTTCTCTCTCTCTCTCATTTTCGCTCTGCGTGGCGGAGCACTTTTTTTTTGTTTTTTAATTGCCTCTGCATCGCGCTGGGCTCTTACGAGGCCTGTTGTTTTTACCCTCTCTGCCCACCTCTCCCTCGTGCACGTACAATGCTTATTCAGGACCTAATTGAGGCACTTTGGTAATTGTGGAGGAAGTTCTTGAGAGCGGAGGGAGTGGGAGCGTGTCTGCGAGTCCAGATCACCTGTAATTAAAGTACATGATGGCTTTGATGGCTCGGTTCCCTCCTGTTGAGATGGCATGTTTAAAGCTCGAGCCGGCAGCATCACATGGACTGGAAAGTGCCTTCTCTCTGGAACACAAGGCAGATAATGCAGCATGGTGGAGTTTCTGATGAGAATTATCTAAAAAAAAAACAAACAAAAAAACACTCACATGCACAATCACATACCATTTCAGCTCTTTAAAGATGCAGCGCACACACCTCCAAATTGCACCAATTGCTGTCTTCAAAATGACCTAATCTTGAAAAGAATAGGATATCCCAAAATATTTTCTACGTCATTTTATATTGGCCATGTTTGCCATTTTTGTCTGTGGCATTGTCTCAGTTTGGGGAGAAGGGAAGTCTTGGCATTTGTACCCCAATCATACTATTGCGGTCTAGCTGCAATGGCAAATTTGTGACTATAAGTTCATAATAATGTGCATCCTTTAATAATGTGATTTACATTTTCAGAGTTTCATTCTGTGTATAGCTGCCAGTTTTCAGTTTTCCTTCCACACATCCTTGGCCTCATAAATAAGGTGGCGGCTGTGCAAATTAGCCGTCTCTATCTCACATCAACATTCACCCCAGGTCCGGGCCTAATCCCATCCCTGTGTTTGGAAACAGATGGCTACTACTACAATGAAAAAAGTAGCAAATTATTTTAAGCAGCAGGCAGCAGAGGCAATTAACAACTGATAAAATGTGTTGATTAAAATCTATTGCAGTCTCACGGACGAGGGGTGGGATGGGGGCAATTGTACCGTACAGTCAATTTGGCATCTGACCAGGTCAAGATATGCAGACCTTCACCTGAACACAGCTGCTTCTCACTCAGAACCTCGGTTTGATGCTTTCATTTTTATAGTATTTTGTTGGCCGAATAGGACTTGATTAGATTAATGAGATTATAAGTAGTGTAATGACAAGAAGCTGGTGGTGTTCCCTCAAAACAACTTTAAAATTTTCAGCTTGAGATTCAGAACGTAAAAATATTTCTTGAATCAAATGGTTTAACTTTGAAATAAAACTCAAAGATGTCTTCCTTTGGCCTAGTTTTCTTTCAAATGATTTACAGTCCCTTGGAAAACTATAGCCCTTAATTTTGCACCAACAGCAAACGTCCCTGTACTTTCTAAGAATTTAACATTGATAGGCCAGCGTTTTAACTCCATCGACCTCGGCCCCATATCTTGAGTATTTTGGAGCCTCCCCGACAGGCTTACTTTCAAGAATGCTGTATTTTTGAAAGCATACTCTCTCTATTCTCTCATCAACTCTCCCCGGCCCCCAAGAAGGAATCCAGCAGCATGGTGCAGCTGCCATGTTTCCACCATGTAGTTTGAGTGGAGAATGATATCTGCCTTTCTGAATTTAGATCAAAAAGTTTCATTTTGGTTTCTGATCAGCGCACCTTGCTCCTGCAAAGCCGAGCAAGCTGCAAACTTTATGTCAACAAAACAGTTCACCTTCTTTCTTACGACAAAGGTGAGATTTGTTGAGTTCACAACTAAAACTTGTTCTGCCACGCTGTTCTGCAATCGGAGCTGTGGTTCTCTGCAGTTCCTCCAAAGTTAGTTTGGGCTTGTTGTCTGCTTCTCTGGCCTGCTGTCTTTGACCTGTCACTGTAGATGGATAGCCATGTTTTGGTACTCTTTCCATTTTCAATTGATGGATTGAAAAGTGATTCGTTAGATGTCCAAAGCACTGAACACGTCTTCAAACTTCTCCGTAACTTTGTTTCTTGGTCTTAATGATGCCTGTTTATGAGGATCTCACAGAACAACTGTATTTATCCAATTTATAGATTAAACTGAACACAAACGGACACTCTTTGCAAAGTTGATAGTTTAGGAAAGCAGTTGGTTCAACTGGATTTTATTTATAGGTATCAGAGCTAAAAAGGACTCATTGAAAACGAAATAACATTTTCACTTTTCAAATTTAGTGTTTTACTTTAGCCCCCCTTTTCTCCTGCTTCAATCCCTCTGGAAAATCATGAAAGTTTGTGGTTTTATTGTGGCATTTTTCTGGGGGAAAAAAAAAACCTCAAGAGGTATTAATACGTTTGCGGCAAAACGGCAAAATTCTGTGTTTCCTGCCTATCATTTCCTATTTCTTTTCAGATGTCCTGTGCAAACACAATGACTGCAGGAAGTCATTTCGAGGCTTTCACCTCATGCTCAGCGCATCATCAGCCCGGCTCGACTGCCGCCCCGGTGATTGCTCAGCAACAAAGTGACACGGAGGCTCTACTTTGTCTCGGAGCCACACAAACCCCATTTCCTTTAAACGACTAATCAGCCCCATTCATCCGTCTACGGGTCCCCCGTTCCTCGATCCTACACCTGTCTTTGGCATCTTTAATTACTGGAAGGCTGCCTTTGTCTGATCAGGAGCCAAGATTAGAATATGAGTGGCAAATTCAGAAGAAAATCATACAGGCTCAAACCAAGTCAATTACCCACCAATCAAAGTAAAAAAGGCTTGTAATTGCAGGGTAACAGTGAGCGCCTCCGCTTCAGCTTCCAGCATTGAGGGTAAAATAAGCAAGAAATAATGCGTACCTGCAGGGGGTGCTATGCTCAAACTATTAAGTTTATCTGTGGCAGGGCGAGCTTATGAATCACAGAGAAAGCTTTATTCCTCCCCCCTC